CCGCCCCCCCCTGCCCGTCCCCCGGCAGGCCAGGCAGCTGCCTGCCTGCCTCCAGCACCCACTTACACAACCAGGTGGATGGTGGGGCTGGCTGGTGGGCAGGCAGCCTGCTGGCCTCTCTTGGCAAGGTGTTGGAACAGACGACATAGTAGAGGTGACTACAGGAGTTCTACCAAAGCAACAAGTTAGTTATTTCTTCACATTTAACTTGAATTCACTTTTTTACCCTTTTTTTAAAAAAAACAGAAGAAAAAGTAAGATTAGCAGTAAATATTGCCCTGAAGAAGGGTGCAATTGCTTGCATCTAATTTTTGTTTTTTAACAAGGCAGAGACTTGTCTTCCTTGGAGCCCATTTTTCTGTTTTAACCCCTCAAGGTCGAGAGGGAGGGCACAACTGCCCGGCACAAAGCGAGGTGAATCCTTGTTTTCATTCTGTGTATTGCTGCCTGTTAGCTGGAGGCTACTGTCACAGTGGATCAGCTGCTTGGGACTGCTTGTATGCGTGCTCTTTGTCCATGAGCTACCTGGAACTGCGACAGTCTAGCATCATGCCCTCCTGTGGCTTTGCTGCAGGATCACTGACAATCATGAGCAGTGCATGGAGTGTAACTTAAATGACTACCACCAGATCCATGAGAAGATGTCCGACTGTATTCTTAAGTCCCTTCTCTCCTCAGGTGCTGATTCCACTCTTCACAGGGCAGCCACTGCCCTCTGAGAAGCTCCAGGAGGTTATGGAGGGGCTGTCCGCTTCCCTGAAGCAATTTGAGGAGAGGTTTCTGCAGGACAAGGCTTTTATCATCGGGAGCGAGATCTCTCTGGCAGATCTTGTGGCCATTGTGGAGCTCATGCAAGTGAGTGCTGGAGAGCGGTAGGGAAGTCTCAGCATAAGGGAAAACAGATGCCACTGGGCAGGGGCGGGTGCTGCATGTGGTAACTCTTAAAGAGAAGTGAGGGCATATCTCAACAGAATTGGCCTAAGACAATGAGGAGAATACGGGAGTGGGTTCGAAAAAACAATTTATATATATAAAAAAAGCTGGCTGCAACAGATCTCTTGTTTCTCTTCTCCTTCTTCCTTTATTGTGACTGTATTTTTAACCTCCAGAGAAGAAGGTAATATATAAAAATGAGAAGCAATAGCAGACAGGTCTGCTGAAATAAGAAAATTATATAGGAATATTTTTATCATACAATAATATTCGTCTTCAGGTGGTACTTGCCCATGACATGTCTGGAACATGCAAGACTATATCTCATAGGGGCAATTCAATTAAGTCTGTTACAAACTGGTTGTTCTCTGCCATATCATCAGGGCCTGGATTCTGCAGCCCAGAAGTGATTCTTTCTCTCAGTTCTGTATCGCAGAGACTGAAAAATAGCAGTTCTGCTTCTCTACAGCATTTTGTTCCAGAGAGTGGCAAGGCAGAAAGTAGAAAGGGGGTAGATCATTTCAGCTAAGACATCAGTTCAAGTAAACGCTTAGCGTTTTGTGCTGTGGTTTTACTCTATAATAGAGCATTCTGTGCTGGGGTTGGTGCAGTTGTCCCTGGAACTGTCAGCCCACCGTCTTCAATGCTGTAGCTGAAAATCAAAATCACTCACTACGTGCTCTAGTCATCTCTGCTGCTCATAACAGCTGCTCTGGCACTCAGGAGTTGATTTGTAAATGCCCTTTAAAATATAGGCTAGCTTCTGTGTCCCTCAGATACACCCGGCCAGAGGAGATTTCCCTCCTTCCTAGTGCTCCTCAGTAAGGTCGTCTTCATTTTTTCCCCCTACCTGTACCTGCAGGTACACTTTTGGTGCCTCTTGTCTTGGTGAAGAAGGGACTGCCCAGTGCCTCACTGTTGCTCTCTCTCCCTCTCTGCAGCCTGTTGGGGTTGGTTGTGACATCTTTGAAGACAGACCAAGGCTGATGGAATGGCGCAGGCGCGTGGAGGATGCTGTGGGGAAGGAGCTTTTCTTCCAAGCCCATGAGATGATCCTCAATATCAAAGAACTGAGCAACATTCAAATTGATCCACAGCTGAAAGAGCATCTGGCGCCTGTGTTGATGAAGATGTTGAAATGAATTAACCTATCTTACCATTTTTGCTGCACTTTTGGTTTTTCAGCTACTCTGACCTCCAGTTTTACATTTAACTGGAAAGAACACTGTAATTCTAACACAGAAATTGCTGGGTGTTTCCCACCCAGACAGGTCTTTCCTGTATCTTTGGGGGTGGAAGCTAGGGAAGGTTTAAGACCTGAAGCATTAAATTTATACAAAAGGCTGAGGCCCTACAAATCACTGAATGTGTGCATCTGAGTTTTATTTCAGTGTCAGTGTTCTTAGAGATGGTAGAAACACGAACAGTATTTCCTGACAAAATGTGAGCCAGCCTGCAAAGTGGGGACATTAGAGAACTGTATAGGATGAGAGCTCTTTTCATGAGAGCTCTTTTCATGCATTTTAGCCATTTGTAGCTCCTCCTCAAGTGGCAAGCACTGCAAAGCGTGACTGATCCTCGCCTTCCCAGCATGGGTCTGCACAGACAAGTACAGCACAAAACTACAGGCAGTCACACAGTGGAAAAAGACATTAAATTTGTATTTTATTTTAAATTTTCTTATTTCTGAGGCATCTTGATTGGCTGTCTGTGTACATTCCACACTTCCGTTCGCCTTTAGGTTCCTGTGAGAAGCTTCTTCGTATTCATCTACAACTGAGTCTTCGTAATTCTTCCATTTAACCATTGCTCTCGATTTCTGAAAGCCTGGATTATTTCGTTGGTGCTCAGTCTGCCAGTACACGTGTGGCAGGGGCTGTTCTTGGAGATTTGCACACTAGAGACCAAGCTGCTTCAAAAAGCTGGGGGTGGCCACAGCCTTTGAAAAACTGCCTACCTAAAGTACTCTGTTGACATTAAATAGGGAATACACTGAAAGAAATGCATTCACAGTGGTTTCTTGAAATATGACAGCAATCAATTTGTTCTTTTCTGCAGTAATACTGTAGTGGCAACCCACATTTCTCTTAGAAAATGCAGAGGGGGAATAAATCTAGCCATGTTCTTCCGAGAAAGTTCTGGATGGAAGTTAACTAAGTAAGTAACCCCGTGCAGCTGAAGTAGTAAGAGAGATTCTGTGGCATTGAGCAACATGTGCATCATAATAAAAGGGCAGAGAGTTGTTTTGGAGCTTTTGTGCTCTTTTTCTTGGCTGTGTTTATTTCTGGTTAGCTGTAGCTCAAATACAAAACCCTTTTGTGCTACAGCACAATTTATGAGATAAAACTGAGGGAAATAGTTGCTGTTGAACCTTACCCTGAAATCCTTGCCCAACAACACTTCCTGTAAAGAATATGACAAAAGGAATAAATAATTCAGGAATGACTTCTCTCACTAACCAGATAGCTTCTTTTCTTTCCAGCACTACCATGCCTTGACTAGTGTGATGTTTCTACTGGTTTATTCTGTAACACCTGATGTGTTATGGTGATGTTTTTCACTAAGGTGTCAGTTCTGGAATACTCCTGACTAGGCTACTGCTAGTCCAGAGCCTAGGGAGATCTTTAAATTCCCTGTCTGCAAAGAGATTTCCATTGTGTACTTCAGCTTGCAGTAGTAGGAAATTTTGGTTTCTGATTACATTTTTTATAAAGACAGGAGACCTGACTGAAGGCCCTCTCTTTTCATGAACTAAAAATAGTAGAAATGGGTATACTCTCACTCCCACCCTTTCTTCCCAAACAGCAGCTGAATAATATGTTTTTATTGACGTTTTATTCACAAAATATCACCTACAACTGAATTAAATTTTAAATGAGAAGTGTTGGGTTTTTTTAATAGTTTCGAGAGTAGAATTGCTAAGTGGATGATGACACATGCAGATGTCTGCAGGAGGGAAAAAACAACCTACCACGATTATCCAAAGGCTGAGCATGTTTAAGGGTTCTTGCTGCTGTGCTGTCCTTTCTTGGTTGTATGTTATCCCTCTACAACCATTTTAATTGCCCACACTAAGACAGAAACAATAAAACAAATGTTTAAAGACTCTTGGAAACCATCAGCAATCAGTCATTCCTATGGTGAACCCTCAAGAATGAAGGACAATATAAGTCATTAAACATGTTTGTGACAGCCCCATGTCCTGTGGTACTTGCTGACATCCGATACTTGAATCTTCTCTTTTCCTTTTGGAGGTCTTCTGATAAGCTGGTTTCTTGCCATGTGGGGTTTTTTTGGCCTTGGAGTGGGAAGAGATTTTTTGTATTTGAAGGAATGAGAGAGAGATAGAAAAGTGGATCCTAAATGGCGTGTCACCTGAAGGCAATGGCTCCCAGCAATCTAACAGTGGTGAGCTTGCACCCCGGGTTTGCAGGTGGCTGAATACCCCCACTGCCTTTGTTTTGGTGACAAACTTGGGCTCAGCTATTTACAAGATTATATCTTTCTGTAAATTTACCCTGGAATCTAACACTCTTCCTGGGTTAATCTGCTGCTTCCCTGGATTTGAAGGGAGCATCTATGTTACTGCTCACTGCTGTGAGCAGCCACCCCCTGCCAGCCTGCCGTGCCCTGTCCCCTCTCCTCCGGTTGGATGTCTCTCTTCACAATCTCTCTCCTAGGAATCTTTTTCCAGCTTTATTTACTGCTGACTCATTTATACACACTGCTTCTTGTGCCAGTATTGTCTTCAGTAGCAGCAATTCCCCTAGAAATAAAATAAATAATGAGCAATTCTATCAGTTTTTGTTAGGATTGTCTAGAACTGTAGAAATCTGAAGAGTCACATTATACTGGGACAATTTTCACAACAGTGCTGTTCCTCAAACAAGATGACCTTTAAATCTCGCAGGTTCCTGACTTTTTGCTGTAAATGCGCACGTAACTCTCACCGGGCAGGAGCTTGGCTTCTCAGAAACCTCTGACCTGTAGATGGAGGCTGCCCGGTGAGCCAGCCCACCGGGGTCACTTTTATCAACTTTATAGCTCAAAGTCCTGATTGCAGAAGCTAGTTTGGTAATTATCTATATTGGATAAAACCATAAACCTCTCTGCTTGCCTTTTAATTTCCTGTAGCACGGGTTGCCCTGAGAAATCTCGGCTTTTCCGCTCGTTACCTTCCCTGCACAGGCAGGTGCGGAGCTGTCGGTGACCAGAAGTTTTCCCAGGGGCAGCACGGACAGTCCCAAAACTCGTTTTCCCTCTCTGTCGGTGCGGTGTGATTTTACTTTTTGTGTGTCACAGTCTCTAATGCACACCCCGCTCAGGT